AAATCGTAATCATATCCTCAGATGCAGCCTATCGGTCTATTCCTTCGGTTACTCCCCAAAGGATTTAGAGATTTAAAAGTGGTAAAGCTAGATAGATTCCGAAAATGGGTCCTATGAGTCAAATTGGCTCCCTAAATCTAGTGTTAACCAGTGAGCGGAGCAGTATAGTCGGGGCCGACCATACGATACCCTACACAACTATCTCGGAACACTAACATTCTACGGATGTTTATTTCGTGCCAGAGGAATATTTCGTTATATTTGCATCCTCTTGTACGATTATAGGCCAACATCACCTCTTCCTTACACTGTCATATTTTCCGAATATTCCCAATATTCAGTACAGCCCAGCTAATTACTTATCCAGATTCCCTTTACCGTGGGCTGAGTTGTTATATTCGACTTGTGGCCTTTAGATCGACTCGAAAGAGCTGTAATTTGGCATATCAGTTTTTTGGAGGCTGGTATCTATTTTAATATTAAATTTTCAATGCAGAGCCATGTTTTGATATAGCCCAAAATATTTTTAGGTATTTTGACGGTTTTGTTCGCATTTTTTAACCGAAAAGGCTGTACTTTTACATTACTTCATAAAAATATTCGTTATTATTCACGGCAAAAATTTATCTTTTTATTTTACTTTAATTTGACCTAAAGCTTCTCATGAATGTCTCCTTAAAATTTCAAGTGAAAATCACAAGCAATCTTGAAGATATAGCCGATTTATTACGACAGCATCAAGCGACGACATGCGCAGAATACCGTTATATGGGAGTAAATGGGTCAATATCGATATTTTTGTTATAAAATCAGAACCCAAAATACCAAATTACAGCCAAATCGGTAGAAAAACCTGCCCAAAATTTTGACGATAATGGATTCCTGATCTATCTTGAAACTAATAAAAATTATCAAAATCTACTACAAAAGTAGTGATTCTACCACAGATACGTGCTTTAGGAGGAAATAATGGTTTACATAATCATCCGAAAATAGGGGAGACTGGGGCACATTTCGGCATTGAAATTATACCCATAAAATCGCATGTTACTTCTCTACAAATGTCCCCTAAATTTTCACACCACCTGTATTCTCACACAACAGTGTCATGTTGTTGCTGCTGATACTTCAAGAGCTTCCGTTGCCATTATTACGTGTTTTGCTGATGTTAGTGTGTAGTTGATGTTGTTGTTGGCATTGTAATTGTCGTCTAACAGCAGGACATTGTCCGCAATGTGGCAATGAAAAGTTTTGTTGCATACATAACTCACATGCATACACACTCAGACTCACACACACACATACGAACATCGAAATAAATGTGACTGTCGCAGACATGATTTGACTCTTTAAAATTCGATCCTTTAAATCAAAAGTGAGCGAATAGTACTCGACGAATTTACGATTGTGTAAAAATTCACTTATGTACGCACTATAAATACACACACACACATCATGTAATGAAAGTGTGTGTAAATGACTATATGTTTATGTATGTGTGTAGTTGGCATTGAACATATTCATTTGTAATAGTACTACTAACGTCGTTTGCCCATGAATTTTGCCTTTACCTCAATAATGGTCATTCAACGGAAGACAAGCGTTCTTTTTTATACGCATCTCTCGCTCTGTCTGTCTATCATTTTCATTCAGTTAACTTTTGAGTTCTCTTGACCACACTGTACCAAAAAAAAGGTACACATAAAGAGGTACTATATGAGAAGAGCAACCGCACAGTTAATGTGCATATGTAGGTGTGTGTGAGTGTGTGTATGTATAACGTTTACGACTTATTTTCCGGAAAATTTGACTTGCTTTTTATGTCTGTCCCCAGCTCATCAACACAAGAGCAGTGGCTATCGAACGGATGTGGACTCACTTCGATATATGAATGTTTTATGTGCTGCCATTTCACATCGAACGTGGATTTTCGCAATTTGACTGCATTAACGTATCATGAGGAATTTGTGTATAGTCTCTCGTTTTTTTTGGGGGGTTTGAATTCGATGTGTGTGTTTCGGTGAGTATTTGGCACTATTAGACATTGGTTAGCTGCTGATGTGGTTTCTAAATGTAGACCAGACAGTTTTGGTCTTGTCTGAGTGATGGACTTATACTTGCTAAAATGGTGTAATTTTGGACGTTATATTTGCCGTTGCAATAAAAGGTCAAATTAACACTGAAGTGAATTTAATTTTCAATTGGAGGAAAAAAGAGTGCGCTTGGATTGTTTAATAATGAGGAGATAGGAGGAGATTCTGTGTAAGGTTTCCCAGAAGATTAATAAGAGTAGCTAATTTAAATTCTGACCAAAGAATTAAATATATTCATGTAAAAATCCTTTAAAAATATTTTTAAAAAATCCACGCCGTGTATAGTGCTTGATTATGATTAAAACATTTTTAAACCAGGAATGTAGTAAAGTCAAACGGGGCCGACTTTGCTCATTTTTGTACTCATTTGTAATAATTTGTGTACTTTTTGCAAAATTTCGTATCAATCTGACAAAAATGAAGAGTTTGGTGCACCATTTGCTTTAAATCGGGAAAAATATATATGAAAGCTATATTCAAATCGGAACCGATTTCAACGTTCAAAGTTATACTAAATTCAGTACGTTTTGAGCTTATAGGCCATATTTTGGGTTCTTGGTGTATTATTTACTCCAAATCGGACAAAAATATATATGGGAGCTAAACTAACTTCAGGCCGTTGCTCAAAATGTTATGCATAAAGGCCATATTGGTTTATTCTTTATATATATATATATATACCGAGTTATATCAAAATCAGAACCACTTTCAACGAAACTTTCCACACGTTAGTAGGTTGTGCAAAATTTTGTGCCAATCGGCCATATTTTGGAGCTGTGGTGAAAATTTTGGAGCTGTGCTGAAAATCGGACGAAGCTATATATTGGGGCTATATCTAAATCTGAACCAATTTCAGTCAAACTTTCCACACTAAATTCAGAAAGTTCTGAAAAAATGTAGAGCTAATCCGTCATATTTTGGAGCTTTGGTGCCCCAATTACTGTAAATCGGACGAAACTATCTAAATCTGAACCGATATCAGCGAAACTTTCCACGCCGTGGGTTATACTAACTTCAGAACTTTCTGCAAAATTTTGTGCCAATCGGCCATATTTTGGAGCTTTGGTGTCCCATTTACTGAAAATCGGACGAAAATATATATGGGAGCTATATATAAATCTGAACCGATATCAGTGAAACTTTCTACACCGTAGGCTACACTAATTTCTGAACGTTCTGCAAAATGTCGTGTCGATATCAGTGAAACTTTCCACACCGTAGGTTACACTAATTTCTGATCTAAATCTGAACCGATATCAGTGAAATTTTCCACGCCGTATGTGTGCCTAACGGCCATATTTTGGAGTTTGGTGCCCCTTTAACTGAAAATCGGACGAAATTATATATGGGAGCTATATCTAAATCTGAACCGATTTCAGCGAAACTCCACACCGTTGGTTATACTAATTTCAGAACGTTTGTGCCAATCGGCCATACTCCATTTACTGAAAATTCGACGAAACTATATATGGGAGCTATATCTAAATCTGAACCGATATAAGTGAAACATTCCACTCCGTAGGTTACACTAATTTCAGAACGTTTTGCAAAATTGTGTGCCAATCGGTCATATTTTGAAGCATTGGTGCCTCATTTACTGAATATCGGACGAAACTATATATGGGAGCTACATATAAATCTGAACCGATTTTTTCCAATTTCAATAGCGTTCGTCCTTGGGCCAAATAAGTGACCTATGCCAACTTTCATCCAATTCGGATCATAAATGCGACCTGAACAACGTTCACAATACACGGACAGGCGGACATGCATAAATTGACTTAGAAAATGATTCTATCCATATTCTTAAAAGGAACCATGTGTCTATGTCGTTTCCTTTTGCCTGTTACAAACATATGCACAAATACTCAACTTGCATCCAATTCGGATCATAAATGCGACTTGTACGTTGTTCACAGTTTAACATACACGGACGGACCCTGTACCACAGTGTGGTGACGGGTATAAAAATTAACGACTATTATAGCCCGTGAAAACATATTCTTTAAAATATCCACGCCTGTTAAAAAAATATTGTTTAATAAATCCATTCCTATTATAATCCTTGAAAAAAATATTAAAAAAATCCACGCTTATTATAGTCCTTGAAAAAATATTCTTTAAAAATCCACACTTCTTGTAGTCAAGATCAACGCGCTTATATTTCTGACAATCTTTGAAAAATATGGCTTTATAGTGTTTCTTTCCTCATCGAATACTCCACATGCATGTCCCAAAAAAGCCACATCCACCGACATCATTATGAAGCCCAAACCCCAGTGATCATTATGACGTGATAATACAGCTTGATGCGCAGAAATAGAAGGAAAGCTCCAGCAACAGCAGTCACCAGTGATGATGATGGTGGGTGGAAGTAAAGATTTGTGAAACGTAGAAAACGGTTGTGATTTTTTGTAAGGTAACAAGCAGCAGCTACGTAGATAAACATTCTGTGATGTCTCGGAACAAAGGTGTAATTGTCAGAGGTAAAAAGAAATACGAAGAAGGACGCAAAAACAAGGTATGCATTTTTTTTACCAAACTTAGGATGCAGTGGTTGTAGTAACGAAACCATCATCACAAGCTTGGCGGTGGCTGCTATGGCCATTTTTTTATGTGTTGCTTTGCTTTTGGCTTGGCATTCTAATGTCGTGTCTTTATTTCTAGGGGTAATTAATGAGCTGTATTTAACTTTTAGAAACTGTAACTATGCAAGTGGACGTTTTTTTCTCTTCTAGTTTTTTACTACATTTTAGTTTGCATTCATGGCAAGTTTGAAACCATTTCTTATATGTGGTTGCTCCTGTTTTCCCTAAAACTCTGGACATTTTTTTTGCAAAAAATCTTTCAAATACTTAGATATTAAGTTAAGAGTTAGGATGTATATATGTAGTAGTAGCTACTTACAGTGTATACTCAGTGATATCCTTTTGGAAACCGATGGTGGTACACCATTTGATGCTATGCAGAGATATGAACCCATTTCATTGCGAGAAATTTTTGCCAGCTTTAATACTTCACCCCGATAAGAGGACACTGTAACGAAGTACAAAACCAGGGAGAAGAGAATCATTATAGAAAGTGTAAAAAGAAACGTATAAATGGACAAATTCATTGGCCAAATAAATATATAGTTGAGTGAGTCTACGTCTCTGTGTGTGTGTGGTCAAAGTTATAAAATAGTTGAACAAATTATTGTTGAACTATCATTATACGGGTCGGTCGTGGTGTTGGGTTTTTTGAAATTGAATTTAATTACCTAAAGTTTTAGTGCCCACACTGTCTTTGAGAACTATTTCATTTCCATCTTCACGGCGCCAAGTTACAATGGGTTCGGGATAACCACGAGCTCTGCAAGAGAAAATGAGGAGAATTATTACAAATTATTTATAGATGTGTTACCGAAACTATGTAAATTTAATTTGTGGAATTTAAACGATTTTTAAGTTTTAATACAAATATGTATAATTTTTTGGGAGATTATAGTGTATTACTTAAATACAAAAAAATGAAAAGGCACGACTTCTGCTGTTAGGAGTAAGTAAATATCAGGAATATACATATCGACGCCTCCGAACCATAGTATGCTAAGTCTGAAAAGTGCGTTTTTCAGTAGAAGTTCTCAAAGTATGGAAGTTTAATATATCTTACGGGCCATGCTAAGTACATTTTTGCTTATAACTTTGGTTTGGATTGGCCGATGATTACCAAAATTTCAGAGAATATAAATTAAGGACCGCAGTATCTAAAAACGTAAAGAACTTTAAAACATGCTAAGTCGACTTAGCATACTATGGTTCGGAGGCGTCGATATATTCTTTATTGTAATACAATTACATGTTCGTATAACAAAATCTGTATGTATAGAACTCACTTCATTTAGGATTGATCACTCAAATATGGCTAATATTCTTAGAATGTGTGGTATTTAAAGTGGAATATTTCGATTCATGTTATGGTCCTTATGTAATATAACCATGACATATCGACATTTTAAAGGTTGTGACAACTTTTAACCAAATTGGTCGTTATTTGAAATTTCGGGTTCTTGGAGGCTAAACGATTTTCTATCCCCGTTTTTTGTTTCTACCCACATGATTAAAGTTTATGCCTCATTTATTAGCTTGAGACTTTGTAATGTAGCATTTTGGTTTCTCAGTGACTAAAAAACTAGATATTAAGGTTCGCAGGGTTTCAGGTATTCTTTCCTTCTTTACTTACTTGAGATTCTGTAATGTAGGTTTTTGGTTTCTCAGTGATTAAAAAGCATGTCCAATGTAGGTCTATGTTAAATACTAGGGTCCTAAATTTTTTTAGTTATATAAGCAGACTTTTGACTCATTTTCCAACCCATTTGTCATTACAAGGGACTCAGAATTCTCGATTTGAAACTTCGACGATTTTCATTTATCATAGTCATATCTCGACTAGCTGAGTCGATCTAGACATGTGTGTCCGTCCGTCCGTCTGTCCATTATAATTTGTAAACACGATACAGGCCACAGTTATGGACCAATCTTCACGAAATTTTGCATGTATGATGGCTTCTGGCCAATGAAGACCCCTATTGTTTTTGGAAAAGATCGGTTAATATTTAGGGGATGAAATGAACCAAAAACTTTATTTTTGTCGGTTTTTCTGGTCACTACAGAGGCCGCAATTATGGTCCAAACACCTCGAATTTTTGCATAGAGAAGGGGATCGGGCCAAAGAATAAGTTTGCCTGTTTTGATAAAGACCGGTCAATATTTAGCGGGTCAAATGGACCCTGACTTTTGTGTGAATAATAAAAAAATGTGTATTCTATGGGGTATATATTAGCACCTGAAGGTCCTAGACCCGAGAAGTGGATAGTATGTTCAAGAGGAGTGGTGCAGGATTTACACAGTGCAGGATTTACACATAAATATTTACGGGCGCTTACGTATTCATATATTATTTAGTACCCCATTACCATACTAGAGGGCGGAAATATATCGCTGATCGCTTTGAAATTTTCCATGAGGTTCAAGTTATGGTCACCGACAACGCCTATAATTTTCGGTGATGATCAGATAATAATTTTGGGATGAAGTGGACTGAAAACTTATTTTTTGGTGTTTTTTTCGAGTCGATCTATAGGCCAAAATTTAAAGCCGAACATCACAACACAACCCACGGTGAAGGGAATCTGGACAAGTGATTATAAGGGCTGTCTTGAATATTTTTAATATTTCATGACCTCTAGTCTAGCGAAATATTGCCCAAGCTCAGAATATAGAACCACAGAAAGTTATAGTTTCGTGGAAGTTGTGTAGGGTATCATATGGTCGTCCCGTCCGACTATACTGCTCCGCTCACTGGTTTTGTCTATAAGTATTTGAAATTTAAAAGAAAAAAAATAATTTATATAATTTTGTTGTTGTTTTGTAGTAATAATAGAAATAGTAATTTAAGGGAAGATTTTTTTTTGTTCGATTACTGGAACATCTGGCTATGGTATGAACTAGGCAAATTGACATCACTCAAAAATTAGAGAAATGGCGGACCTAATAAAACTATATTTTGGATAATCGCATATTATCGACTAGAAACCAACCTGAAAAATAAGAAACCTATTCATTGATTGAATTTATCCTACTTCATAAGAAATATATTTTAAAAAATACACATTCTGATAGTGGTTCCAGGTTTGTCCAAAACATTTTTAATCCACTCTCTGATAGGGCCACTGATATATTTTTAAAAATACTCGCTTTCATATGCCTTAATAAGTATTCAGTAAAAAAATTACGCGCTTACTTAACTGGCTTATGACAGAACGGTTGTTCCATAAGCCGAGCTTCAAAAATATTTCCAAGCTCGTCGGTCTTGTGTGCAACTCCTCCAATTCGAAACACCATTTTCCGAGATTTTGTCTTCTACTTGATCTTTCCATCGGATTCGTGGTCTACCCCTTCTGAGTAAACCATCACTTGACTCGTTTTTATATGCCTTTTGAGCTGGGGCATCTTCATCCCTTCTCACAACATGACCTAACCAACGTAGTCGTTGCAGCTCGATCCGTCTGACTATGTCGATGTCTGAGAATATATGGCATAGCTTCATTCGACGGCGATATTCACCGTCAACGCAAATCGGCCCATAGATCTTCCGGAGAATTTTTATCTCAAAAACTCCAAGAGCAGCCTAATCTGCTTGCGTAAATACCCATGCTTCAGATGCATACAACATCACTTGTAGAGTGTGAGTTTGGTTTGGCGAGAGGGGAACTGCTTTTGAGGTGCTGAGTTAGACAACATTAGCATCTGTTATCTATTATCGGATTTCAAAGCTGATATTATTAGTTAGGTAGTATATAAAATCGTTCGTTCGAGGTATATAAAATACCACGAAGCTGTAGAATTCAAGTTCTACAGTTGGTCCGAGTCTACTGAACGTCTTGCGTGTTGGTACCATCAGCTTCGTCTTTTCGCCATTTACTGCCAGACCCTTTTTGGCAGACTCCTTCTCAATTCGTTTAAAGTTGGCTGTTAGCGCTCGCAATGTTCGATCCATTATGTCGATGTCGACGGCGTAGGCGAGTAACATATGCTGTTTGGTGTACAAAGTACCATTTATGTTCACATTCTCATCTCGTATGAACTTTTCCAGCAGGATGTTAAACAGGTCACTCGAAAAACTGTCACCTTGTCTGAATCCTCGTTCGGTATTGAAGGGCTCCGAGAGGTCCTTTCCGACTTTAACTGCTTACATGTTAAAGTTATCCTGCTTAGCCGTATTAATTTTACAGTAATGCCAAACTCAGACATGGCTTTAAACGCCATTGAACGGAAAAGTCTTCCAAATGCGGCTCTATAGTCGAAGGATTAGTGGAATGTGTCGATGTTTTTCGTGGCTATTTTCTAGGATTTGGCGCAGAGTGAAAATCTGGTCAATGGTGGATTTTCCAGGCCTGAAGCCTCATTGGTATGGTCTAATAATGTTATTGACCATTGGCTTCAGTTGTTTACGCAGCACGCTGGATAGCACCTTTATATCGTCTTGTCTCCTTTTTTGTGCACGGGACACAGGATTCTGAGGTTCCAATCATTGGGCATGGATTCCTCTAGCCAGCTGAAATAATCAGGTGGTGCATTCTCCTGACCAGGATCTGACCACCAGTCTTGAATAGCTCGGCTGGTAATCCATCGACATCTCTGATCTCTTAAATCTCTTAAAAAATCACACTTTGATGGGCTTTAACAATCTTAAGTTTTGATAGGCCTTTAAAAAATCCATGCTCTCATAGAGTTCCCAAAAAGATGATTTAAAAAATTTACGCTCTGGTGGGCCTTTATTATTTATGAACAAAGAATAAGATTCCCATTCGGAAAAAATTCCATTAAAAATCCACGCTCTGATAGACCTTTCAAAATATAAAATTTATTCCTAAAAAATCCAAGCTCACAGAGGATTGGGCTTCGTATAACCCGGTATAATATACCCTGAGTGTTTGTTGTTTAGTTTCTCCTGGAATCTCCGACCGATTTTAGGTATATCGAATGTCCATCTCATGGTGAATGGTATAAAATGTTCCGCCGGGGCGAAATGTTCAATTTTTAAAAATAATTGTTTTTAATAATATTTTCTGTTTGACATTGTATTCCACAGTTATAGTACGTTTACATTTAACCGGATTTCGTTAACCCAGTGGGTTTCAATTGTCATTCCCTTTGCATATATGTCAAATAAATCCTCATAAGGTAGGTTAACCCGGTAAAAAGTTCTAATGTACAAGGAGTAATATTAAAGCAATCAATCAGAAATTCTATTTATTATTTATCCCAAAGTTATTATGCAATTACTTACACTTTATGTGAACTTTAGCTAATTGTATTAATATTAACTTATTCCTGCAACTACATTGAATGGTTTAGTAGTTCCATATAACGATGTTACGACTGGTGACAGCTATTTTTATAACTCTCCTTTTTATGAGTGTTAATTAAATGAAAAGCCTTTTCTGAAAATGCCAAAGAAAATTGAGGAGAAGAGGAAGACCACGACGGAGACAACAAGCAGAAGATTGTTGATGGTATTACGGCAGATTTTTATAGTTACAAATAACATAAATCAACAAATAAAGCTAACCAGAATCCATTGAAAATATACTCCTGGCAAAGGGCAGGCAAACAGACAGACACATAAAGTAAACTGACCCGTACGGGTTGTAAATTTTGTGTGTTTCTATGACTGTGTGTGTGTTTGGGGGGTCAGCAACAGTAACAGCAATATACGAAAATAAAATAAATGTTTTTATGACCTTTTTCTCGCACTTTATCTCTCACACCATTTCTTCGTTTTCACTAGACACAAACACACACTTATAC